CCAGACGACATCGTAGCATTCTCCTTGTGGCGCCAAGTCGTTCTTCCTTTCATCCGGCACCGTCCTCGAAGCATATTCGACTACGTGCTCCCGCCCATCTTTCCCCTTCTGAGCTAGGATAGCGGAGATAGCCTCCGGCTGCCAATCAGTAATGAGTAGGAACTGGCGCTCGGGATCGGGCCGGATTAAAATAGGGGCCGAGGCCAGGGCTTCCTTCAAAGTGCAAAAGGCCTGCTCACACTCCGCGTCCCAGTTCAGTGGCTGTTCCTTCCTCAGTTCGTCAGGGGCCGAGCGATTGTCGCAAAGCCCTTGATAAACCGTCGGTGGTACGAGGCCAGTCCCAGGAAGGCTCGAACCTGCGTCAATGACGTGGGCGTGGGTGCTTCTCGAACAGCCTCGACCTTCCTCGAATCTTGTCTCAAGCCTCCTCGGGTTACCACGTAGCCCAGGAACGAGATCTCGGACAGGAAGAATTCATTTTTCTCCAACGCAATCTTGAAACCGGCGTCCCGCAGCGCGCCAAGTGTCCATTCAATATGCTGCGCGTGTCCATGGAATGATTCATAATACACCAAAATATCGTCCATGTATGCGATAACGCAAAAATTGATCATGCCCTGAGTTAACCTGGTCTTGTTTACGAAGTTCGGGAAAGTGACATTCATTGCCCGCTGAAAAGTCGTCGGCGCATTGCATATACCCATAGGGCATCGAACCCACTGCCATGTGCCCTCAAACAAGACAAACGCCGTCTTCGACTGATCCTCTGCCCTCACAAGGATATGGTGGAACCCGTGCTGATTATCAAATTTACTAAAATAATTTGCACAGCCAATCACATCCAGCAGATCATCAATCTGAGGGAGGGGGTACACATCCTTGATCATGATGTCATTCAATTTCCGATAATCAATGCAAATGCGGATTGATCCGTTCTTTTTCGGAACCAAAACTACCGGAAAGGACCAAGGACCTGTAGCGGGCTCTATCCAACCATTAGCTTCGAATTCCCGGATTCGCTCGAGTGCTGTCTTTCGTTCTGCCAATGAGTATCGATAAGCTTTGCAATGAATCGGCGGGTGAGTACCGGTCTGAATCTCGTGCTGGATTATTAAAGATAACCCGATGTCTGCGTCATCAATGCTGATAGCACCCCGATATTCCGCTAAGATCTCTGCAATAAGTTGGTGGGTTCCGCCGGGCACGTATTCTGGCACGTGTAACTCGTAAGGTCGTCCATGTATATCGACTGTAACATGTTTGGTGCGTACTGCCTTAGAGTCCCGGGGCGGTGGGGAAGAGATGAAAGAGTTGTCCGACCGCCACGAGAACACGGTGGCTACCATCTGGGCTTCCTCTTCTCGGATGACCACATGTTCTTCGGGGGTTATCTCGTCCGCAATATCCCGGGGATCCACCGATTTCTCAGCGATCCTTATCCCGATATCAAACAACGAGGCTTTGGGGCACCCAGGGAGTTCCAAAACCTGTATTTCCGCTCCCAGATGCAGCAACCGTAGCTCCTTGTCTATGGTAAGAAGCGATCGGGGAGGGGATTCCGTGACGTCGCAGAAGGATCGCTTGTCCACGTATCGGGGGAGCAAGGAAGTAGTGCCCTTGTACAGGGTCCGAGGGGGTTCCAAAGAGTCGGGCAGACTTGACACCTGTACCAGGGGTTCTCTTATGATAAGAGCTCGAGTTCGTTGGACATTTTCTTCAGTCAACACGAACGTTTTCGTCGTTTTTTGTCGGACTGGGTAACGGATTACCCTTCGTGTCAGCTCTTGAATCGTCGGGTCTATCTCGTCCTCGCTTTCCGAATCCCGTGTGTTCTTCGCTGCTAGTCTCTGAGTCCTCAAGGAGTCCGTCCCAGGTGACTGTCCGAATCGGCCCGCCTACCTCTGGGTGAGATCTACGTGGCGGGTTGGTAGTCGTGCGGAGGGTGAGGCGCATGGGGACTGCGTACGGCTTACCCCCGGTGTTCTTGATAACCACCTCCCGTCGCTCAAAGTCTAGATTGGCCTGGAGGGCGTTTAAAGCAGGCAGTCCGATGAGTACGTCGTACGAGTTCTGAATCACATTAAGAACCACCACGTCTCCCAAGGCGTGGACTTTTCCCAACTTAAAAGCGACGTTTGTCATTTTTCCTACCGCTTTGATCTTCTCCTCATCGACGGAGATCAAACGGTCTCCTTCGTTGAGTGGGATCAGATTCTTCCTTCTTCTTGTCCGTTCCACTACTCGCGGGGATATTGCCAACACCGCTGCCCCGGAATCAAGGATCGCGTTGTATGGGACTCCCCAGATCTCCACGTCACACTCCGCGGACTTCCACGGGATAGCTTTGATGCACAGAAAATGGTCGCTTTTCTGGAGAAGTCCCAGGCGTACAGGCTCTGAGGGTCCAGGTGTATCTGGCTTTGTCTCCTTTATGGGAGCCTTCCCCTTGGCCGTTGCCAGCTTGGCGAGTGCGAATCATTTTCGATTGGCCTTGCAATGCCGGAGCATGCGATCATTGGCCTGTTCTGATATGGACAATAGATGGCCGATCAGAAGCAGAATGCGGTGATCTAAGGCTCGGACGATGTCCAAAACATCGATCTTCCCGGTGACGAACTCAGGACCGCCGGATTCCATTTCCCCCGAGGATGGTCGCCATTCTGAAATCTCTCGCTCATCGTCCGCGGACTGGATTGCCCCTATCATCCCAAGCCCCGGATATCCCGAGGAGAGGAATTGATCTAGTGGGATGAGCTTTGCGGCTTCCTCGATTACCCCTATGCTTGGTGCTGCCACGTTCGTTTCTTCTACCATGTTTCCTACCCGTCCAGGCCCGTTAGCTAAGGGAGCTGCAGCTGCCGAGGCTGCCCCTATTCTTACTTGTCACTGGGGGCAATCCCGGGCCATGTGGTCGGGTTGATGGCAGGCGTAACACGTGTCAGTCCTAGGGGTCGTGCCTGCGCCAGCTCCCGCGGCTGAGGGAGCAGATGCTTGGGTGGCAGAAGGGGCAGCGCGAACATTAATGGGACGCATGGAACGCATCAGCGACTCCATACGGGCATTGTACTTGCGCTGTTCTTTTTTGCTTTCTTGCATGAGGCTAACCAGCGTACGTGTAAGGTCTAGTACTGCGTTCGACTCCTCTATCCTCCCCGCCGGAGTGGGTGTCTGTGCAGCCGCCTTGGGCGTCGATGGTCCTGCTCCCTGACCGGGAGGGCGTCGTAGGGCTGCCACCTGTTCCAGGTAGGTGACAAGGCCTGACACGAAGCCCATATTTTCGAACTTATGTTGCAGGGCTGCTAATTCCATCCTTGCGTGGGTCAGTTCCGTAGAGTCACCTTCTTTAGCGTGATCTTCTCCCTCGAGGAAGCTGGCAGCGAACTTTCGCTCCATCTCTTCTCATGCGTCCATGACTTGCATCAGGGTGAAGGTGATAGGGGAGAACTGTTTTCATATCTTATCCCGTATAGCTCTACTTCAAAGTCCATCTATGAAGAATTCTCTTCCTACCTTTTCGTCTCTCTGAGATTTTAGGAACAGTCGATAGAACCGACTACAGTATTCCACAATAGACTCGAGGGGCTTCTGCACTCGGTCTTTGATCATAAAGAACGCTTGCTCTGGATGTATGTAATCAAATCGGTGTAGGAAGTCCCTCTCGAAGGTAGGAAGGTCAGTCCATACGTAGGTGCTGAACCAGTGATGGGTGTCGCCTCCTAGTCGGGCTGGGATGTTAATCCTAGCTTCATCATTATCGTACTGCTGCGCTTGGAGCGTGGCAAGCCATGCTCCTGCCAGGTGGTGCGCTGGATCGAATAAATATAGATCGGGCGGGGCTGCAGGAGCGCGGGCGCGTGCAGGCTGAGGCACGGGCTGAGGCGCAGGCCCCAGGCCGCCCCCTGCCTCGCCCTTTGCTTGATTGGCTTGGGCCTGATTGGCGTTTGCCTGATTAGCATTCATGTTGTCTGCCGATCTACCCGCAGACCTGCTTCTTGTCACTACAAGTTCGTGTGCCGACGCGTTCCTTTGCGCGGACCGCCCCCGTTTTGGGGTCGCCAGATCGGTTGAACTAGAGAGCCAAGCAACTTGTCAATCCCTTGTCTTGACACGTGTTGTCTCCGATACCAACCTCACGCCCAACGCGACTTCCTGTTTCGGAGTGTTAGTGGGCATGGAGCCAAGGATTTTTGGAAAGTGGGGGTGGAGTTCCAGGTCAGAACTGGAATCTCCTGTGTCAAGTTTCAGGGGTAGAAGTGCAAGTGGTTCCTCTAGCTCATAGTTGGGGTGGGCGCCGTTCCTGCGGCCGGGGCCGGGAGAGAGCCAGGTGCACAAACGGGGTGTTGCGGGCATCGCTGTGGGAATGCTCGTACCTCTGCCATCCGACACAGAACTCAGAGTCAGAGTCTGATGAGGAGGACGAGCTGTCTTCCTCCACGTGTGTTTTTCGTGTCGATCGTGGAAGCAACGTCGCAAGCGGAGGGCGTCAACGAAACGGGCGGCAGGGGAGTGTCCGATGGTGAGCATGCAGGCACGCGCAGAACAGGCCGCAGGTCAGGGCGGAAGAGGACCTGCGTCGGTGGTGTCGGGACGGAGGTACGAACCGTCCTTGTGCAACCATCTAGAGTCGTGGGAGACGCCAGTGCACTGCCCCCGTCAGTCGAGGAGGCGAAGACGGAAGAACTTCCAACGTTGCCTCTCGGTAGTGGCTCGACGCAGATGCTGTCACAGACGGTGCAAGTACCCGGGTCAGCTAGCAACGAAGGTGGCGAGTTCACCTCCCTCCTGCAGCAAGGTTTGGGAGACGACCACGACGGGGGAGTCGATTTGAGGTTCGGGTTGTCTTCCGCCAGCGCGAGGGAGGCAACCCGTACGTTCATCATCAACGCCGATCCTTCGCCACGTGGCCTTCAACGTGCTGGAGGTTAGCAGACTGAGCAGTCCACACATCATGGCGGTGCGTCCGTGAGTACAGGTGTCGGGCCGTCACTACCAGCCCGACAGCATGGATGGACTGCGCCACGCTCCGAACGAATGACAAGTACCTGCCCCGCACACAGTGAAGTCGCAGCAGGGTCCGCGCGCATCAGCGGTGGATGGTCGTCGATGTCAAACCGCACAATGCTGACCCAACCCGACGTGATGGACGAGCCCGCTTGCAGATCACCGATGTGCGTCCAGGACCCACTGTGGAGAACATCACACGAGGAGTGTCCAACATGCGGGCACACAACAATGGCAACGACGACGACGCCGGTGACGGTGACCATGCCAACGAAGGGTTCCGGGAGGACGCGGATGCATGGGACGTCGACGACGACATTCATATTCGGCCTTTGGGGAAGACGGCTGGGAGGGGGAAAGGACGCAGCAGAGGTGTTGTTTGTGGTCGATCCGTTGGCCGTAGCGGCAGAGGAGACATAAGCGACGACGGCGGGAAGTCTGCGACGTACAGGTCTACGGACGACCAACTGCTCCTGGTGAGATGCAAGCGGGAGCAAGACATGCACCTCGCCGAGTTGGGTCACAATTACGGGCGGATGTGAACGAAGGAGTGGAAGTGGGACGGCATCGCCAAGCGGATGGCAAAGGCGGGGAGGCCTAGAGACGCCGACGACTGCATGAAGAAGTGGGATAATCTGTTCCAAAACTACAAGAAGATACAAAGGTTTCAGAATGCCAGTGGCGAGGCAGACTTCTTCAGGCTATCAAATGACGAAAGGAAGGAGAACAACTTCAAGTCTTGGATGGACAGGGTGCTGTACAACGAGATCCATAGAGGCATGTTGGGGAACCACACAATTTTCCTTCCCAACGTCGCCGACACCGGCAGTTCGGACGGGGTGCAGCTGCCCAGGCAAGGAGCGGCTGGTGGGGAGTCTGTTGGTAGTGAGGCCGGCGGTGATGGCTGCCCTGAAGAACGTTCTTCGGCGAGGGACTCCGACAACAAAGTAGGCAGTGGGGGTGCAGGCGGGAAGCGGAAGAACGCACGTCAACAGGCGTTGGAGTCGATCGCTTATGTCATGGACCACCATGGCGAACTGATGTCGTCGACGATCGATTCCTCTAGCAAGCGACAATGCAGCATTTTGACGAGGCAATGTGACATACTCGAGCAGGAAGTTGTTGTTCAAAAATCGCCCGCGTTCAGGATTTGAACGCGGTGAACGCGCGTTCAGTGAATGGCGGTAAACGCGTTTGACGCGTTTGCTCAGGGGGGTGTGCGGGGTGGGGGAGGCCTTCGGGCAGTGGGGGGAACGGCGGCGGTGCTTGGGGAGGCTGTGGGCAGTGTGGGGAGGTAAACGCATTTGACGCGTTTGCGCAGGGGGTTGTGCGGGGTGGGGGAGGCCTTTGGGCAGTGGGAGGAGCGGCGGCGGTGCTTGGGGAGGCTGTGGGCAGTGTGGGGAGCGGCGGTGCTGCTTGGGGGGTATGTGGGCCAGTGCCCCAGACGAATGGGGAAAAAAATAAAAAATAAAAAAAATGTGCGTGAATTTGTGTATGTGTGTGTGTGAATATGTGTGTGTATGTGTGTGTGTGTGTATGAAGTATGATCCTTTTTTTTTTCGGGGGGGTAGGGGAAACCCCATAACATGGCTCAGACGGCCCATGCAAGCTGTCTGAGGGGTCCTCGCAGCCATGTGGCTCAGACCCCCCCACCCAAATCGAGGCAGACAACAAGTATGAGGTAGAGCACGAGTTGGCCGAATTTATGCTCAGGATTCAAGTTCAGATCTGTGTTTCAGCAGTTATGGGTTGCTCACGATGCTAGGCCGTGGTGGTCTCTGCACGTGATTCTCAGGGCTACAGCACGTATTCCTAAGAAAAAAGAAAAGGAGAAAAAGATAAAAACAAGAAAAAAGAAAAACAAAAGAAAAGAATGAATCTTCTGCAGAACATGGAATAATACGCCGCCATATGTTTTGTCTTTTGTGCATCTGCTGAGTAGAGGCCCTTAGGGCCACTGCACGTATTCTTAAGAAAAGCAGGAAAAACGAGAAAAAAAAA